GCAGTTCAATTAACGCCGCCGTCTGACTACCCGTTGCGGTTCATCAATCTGCGTGTTCAATTAATTCGTCAGGTCTGATCACTTGTCGGGAAGTTCACTCAATTCACAGCCTACTCAATTTAGTGTTCACCAATTCGTTGTGTTCTACCAATTTGCTAGGCCCACCACCTAAAAATTCAACATCTGCTAAGCCCACTTAACGGTTGTGTCTTCACTCACCTGTGTTCACCACCCGGTGTGTTCACTAATTCGCCGTGTTCACTACCCGTTGTGTTCACTACCTGTTGTGTTCACTACCTGTTGTGCTCCATTACCCGGTGTGTTCTTACTAACGTGTCGGGGTTCCATTTAACGGTTGTGTTCACTACCTGGTTGCGCTCCACTGTCTGCCAGGAAACCACTTAATTGGTGTGTTCACTAATCTTTGTCAGGTTCATCGCATCTTGCGTAAGTTCACTCAATTCGTTGTGCTCACTAACGGGTGGCCCACTACCCGCCAGTTCACTCAATTGGTTGTGTTCGTTTCACCCCCGGCAAATTACCAGGTTGTGCTCACCACCCTGCTGGCGCTCTACTGGACGAGCATTGGTTTGTCCAAGGAGCGATGCACGGAAGAGTGCTGTTACCGGAGAAATGCGTCATTGTTGGGGTTGTTTTCAGGTTGGAGACACCCGCTTGTCCTGTTATTATCTGTACAATGCGAAACGCCTTCATCCGACTGGGTTCTCATAAAGGACCTGAAGAGGTCAGATCATCTGCCTCGGGAGGATGTCGATGTGCCTGAGTGGAAGAAGCAACAAAAGTACAGCAATAGCAGGAGGCGATTTAACACCATTACCCTGCATCCGTGTCTTCGTGCATTTGACCTGTTCTCGAGTGATTGACGGACAGCGGCCACAACGTGAGGGGAAGACAATTCAAACTGTCGAAGTAAGTGAAGCCCGCCAAGGCCCTCTGAACCACGCCGCGTACCACCTTCTGGTACAGGTACGATGGAAACGCAGGGGAGTTGCGGTATGAAGCGCAGGAAATAAGGATCCCAGCCATTAGAGGACAGGGGAGCCGTGGTAGTCACGACGTTAGTGATGAAGTATACCTTCAAGGCCGATGACGTGGCCAGGCCCAGCAAGGAAGTCGCCCCGACGCATACAGGTTTTTTCTCCGAGCTCGAGCAGAATTTTGATGATTTGAGCCATCGTTATTATACAAGAAGATATAATACCAACCAAATTGCTGGAGTAACTGGTATTTGTGATGGTAAATAATGTGCAGAGGTTAATAGGGCGGTTATGTTGAGATTAGATTAGGTTAAGCCAGGTTAGATTAGGGCGGGTTAGGGCGGCATTTACACACCGTCACTCCTCGGTCAGAACTCAATTTCGTTGAACCACTTGACAGATACATCACTAATATGTAATATGGAACATTAATTATCTCTACTGGGGAGTTGGTCTGATTGATATATTTTGGTGAAAGGTTTGTTTGGTAAGAGTCGAAGCGTGATTAATGCGATAGTGGTAAGAGGGAGCGCTTTGTAGAGTGTCTGTGTTAGTGAGAGGAGGGGGAGTGGTGGAGAGGAGGGAGAGGGGTGAGGGAGGGAGGGGGTGAGGAGGGGGTGAGGAGGTGGGGGTGGGAGGTGGGAGGTTGAGGGAGGAGGTGGGAGGGTGGGAGGTGGGAGGTGAGGGAGGTGGGAGGTGAGGAGGCAGGAGTGGGAGGGAGGGAGGGGGGAGTGAGAGGGGTGAGGGAGGGAGTGAGACATGGAGGTATTACATGTGGGTTGTTCATTATCATACTCAAAAGTGCTGATCCATCTTATTCTACTAAGTCCTCCCTTCCTACTTCTTCTCTCCCCCTCACCTTCCTTCTCCCTCCTTATCTGCCCTCATTACCTTCCCTCCCCCACCCCCTACCTTCCCTCTCACTCTGCTCTCCCAACTGCCAGACACCTCCATGCTCCTTCCCGTCCCTTCCCCTGCCAAACACCTCCCCAGCGTCCCCCTACCTCACACTCCCTCTCCTGTGCTGAACATATCACGCCCTCTCAACCACACGCTGCAACCAAAGACATTACGTGTGTGTGTGTGTGTGTGTGTGTGTGTGTGTGGTCCTGAGATGCCGCCAGGTATTGCCAGGTACAAGCAATACAATCTAGAGTTGATTTAGTCGAAATTTAGACTGATTTTATATTGCTTCTGAGCTGCTGGTCGTGTGTTTTGTTTATATCTTGGAGTTTAGACACACACAGACAGACACACAGACACACACTACACTAATCCTCTTATGTAAAATTTCTAACCCATATATTACATTAAAAGTCGTCGTCCATACAGGCTCTGCTGCAACAATAAATTCCCTAAACAGTAGTACTGAAAATTTGTCGCCTCGTTTACACCGCGATTGTCATGAACACAAATCCTTTTACACAGGTTTTAACCCCTCGTACCTGCACACCTGAACCCCTTTTATATAGTGTATCATTCACATATACACAAAGGGAGTAAAGCTCTCTCCATACAAGGGGGTTTAATCCTTTATTCTCACGTTCCCCTTGTTGAATCAGCTAGACTGTTGTGGTGGTGACGGGTAGGTGGTGTTGACTCGGGGTAGTGGTGATAGTGGAGGTGGTGGTGCATGGTGGTAGTGGTGGTAGTGGAGGTGGTGATGGGGTATGGTAGTGGTGATAGTGGAGGTGGTGGTGCATGGTGGTAGTGGAGATGTTGGTGATGGTGCATGGTGGTAGTGGAGATGTTGGTGATGGTGCATGGTGGTAGTGGAGGTGGTGGTGGGGGTGGTAGTGGAGGTGTTGGTGGGGGTGGTAGTGGAGGTGGTGGTGGGGGTGGTAGTGGAGGTGGTGGTGCATGATGGTGTTGGTGGAAGGACCAGTTTTTGAGTAGTTAAGGAAGGTAGGAGCTGTCGGTGGTATGACAGATGGGTCTAGTGAGGACAGTGGGGGACACGCCCTTCTACCACTACCACCACCACCACTACCACCACACCACTACCACCACCACCACTACCACCACACCACCTCTACCACTGCATATTGACACTCTGAAGTGGTAATTTTAAATCTCTATTATTATTATTATTATTATTATTATTATTATTATTATTATTATTATTATTATCATCATCATCATCATCATCATCATCATCATCATCATCATCATCATCATCATCATCATCATCATCATCATCATCATCATCATTATTATTATTTATATATTATTATTATTATTATTATTATTTTTTTTTTTTTTATTATCTTACACACACACACACACACACTGAACACGAGAGTATTTTGCTGCCTGTCATCCAACATACGCCAACTGTCTTAGGACATTCTTTTCACTATTCCTCTTACCTCATCCCCAGCTCTTCCCTTCCCGGGTTATTCCCACCACCAGCTCTCCCCACCACCAGTTCTCCCTACCACCAGCTCTTCCCAACACCAGCTCTCCCCACCACCAGCTCTCCCCACCACCAGCTCTCCCCACCACCAGCTCTTCCCAACACCAGCTCTCCCCACCACCAGCTCTCCCCACCACCAGCCCTCCCCTGAAACAGAAGAAGCGTGACCTAAGGATGTTGCTGTGTACCATGAAGAGACCAAAATCCCTAGTGTAACCGCCATGTCCACAGTAATTACGTGACTTATTGAGCTCAAACCACGACATATCTTGTAGATTTTGCTTAATATTGGAGGAGTTGCTTGTGTGATGGCGGGGTTGGTGCTCCAGGGAAGGTAGTGGGTGTTGTTGATAGTGATACATATTTAACTTGTTGATGCAGAAGTGACAACTATTGAGGCACCTAGTCACTGGGATAATATTTTTTTTAGTGGTTGGAATTTTTGTTGTTGTTGTTTTTAACTTCAGTAGTGATGTTAGTGGGTTTGTGGACGTGTGATAGTAGCCACATTAACAAGGAGGTTTGTTAAGTGTCAACAAATTGATGGGAGAGTTGTTGATGAGTTTGGATTTTTTTTCCTATTAATGGGAGTCATAGTCATCATGCTTAAATTGGCTCCCTTGGTGTACTTAAGTGAAAAGGTTAACCATAAGTAAATGTTAACGTGAAATTTTTGTCTTAGTTTTCCAAAAGTGAAGAACCTCATAAAACCTTCCACTTAAATTATAGATTAAAAATACGAACAACCTTCATGCCATATTAAGAAGAAAATATAGTGTCAATAACAAGTAATTTACAACAGAGAAATATTCCCACGAACAATAATAAGACAGCTCAGGAACTAATTAACTCTGATCTGTGCTATACTTAAGCTTTTCTACAACTTAACAAAAAACATAAATTTTATTAGAATTTCAAGAACTAATTTCAAAGGAATATATAACACCTCTGCCCCCTCCCCCCTGCGGGACATTAATCACCACACGTCGAGGAACACTTGAAGTTAACCATAATAGACCTTATAGGAAAAACCGATGATGGAGGCATTAACATGATAAACCACTCTCTTGGTCTTCCACTGCTAACACTATATTGCTACAAGTTACGGACAGGTCTTCAGTCAATGATGATATCCAACAAATTGAATGAAATTCCGAAATTTTTATTAATTTCTAAAAGTTGTTGTTTCATATCAGAAGTTAGTGAACTGTGTTTTAAGCTCCAGCTGCTGAAGTACCTAAATTCGCTTAAACAAAACCAACAGTAAATTTGAACCTTAGTGTGCGTGCGTGCGTGCGTGCGTGCGTGCGTGCGTGCGTGCGTGCGTGCGTGCGTGCGTGCGTCTTAAGTATCGACTCTCACGGTGTTTTCTTCCGTAAACACACTTGGATATATCTGTGTCCACCTTTACTGTAGATGCATCTTATTCACAGACTTAGGTATGAAACACGCCTTGGTCACAACATACTATGCCCCACGATGGGAAACATAAACTGTGCAATACCAGAAAGTCTACGTACTCTTCCCGCCAGAGTTCACTATAACGGAGTCGTCTCGATGGCGGAGTGTCTGGGACCTTTTGTGTTTTATGTCACTGTGTAGTCTTGTGTGGGTCTTCTTGTGTTCCGTGTCACTGTATAGTCTTTTGTGGGAGCTCTTGTGTTCCTTGTCACTGTGTAGTCTTGTGTGGGTCTTCTTGTGTTCCGTGTCACTGCATAGTCTTTTGTGGGAGCTCTTGTGTTCCTTATCACTGTGTAGTCTTGTGTGAGTCTTCTTGTGTTCCTTATCACTGTGTAGTCTTGTGTGAGTCTTCTTGTGTTCCTTGTCACTGTATAGTCTCGTGTGAGTCTTGTTGTATTCCTTGTCACTGTGTAGTCTTGTGTGGCTCCTCTTGAGTTCCTTGTCACTCTGTAGTCTTGTGTGAACTTTTTGTGTTCCTTGTCATTGCGTAGTCTAGTGTTCCTTGTCACTGTGTAGTCTTGTGTGGGTCCTCTTGTGTTCTTACCAGTTTCTAGTCTCCCTACTGTAGCCTGGTACATTTGGGCTTCACTAAATATATTTGATGGTTGTCTGTTTCATCAGTAGCACGAGAGGACCTTTTCAAGATAGTTTGTCTGTTGCTCAATACTGTACATATATATATATACATCACCAACACACTGTTACGAACCCCTCCACCCAGCACTACGAACCACGCCATCTATTGTCCTGATCTACCTACCCAGCACCACGAGCAACGCCATCTAGGGACGAGACACGAGTATGACTCGTCTTAGTTACCACTCCGGGGTTTCTCTTCTCCATATCCTGGTTGTTGCGTCACCTCCTCAAAGTCTTCTTTGTCAGCTCCAATTCGAGGAGAGAGGACTTGGCTCTGGGAAGTGACCACAGGATCATCTATCCTCTAAACCTACGGTGCAGTGACTACCTACCGTCTTCTACAATACTCAGCCTTACTCGTCAGCCATCTCAGCTCCTCACTTAAGTACTTGTATCTTGTATTGCCTCCCCCACGTCCACTTGCTTCAAAATTGTTTATGTTGTATTAATATGTATATACTGTTAATGTTTAGGTTAAGTTTGGTTAAGGGTAATTTATAAGCTGAATATTTTGTTTAGGGATTTATGGTACTCTATTATACACAACGAAAACTCGCATCCTTTGTCTACCCTTTTATAGTCCGATTGTCTTTGTTTGTTTTTTTTTGTTACCTGTTGGGATCTGGGTAGACGTATAACTATATTCTAAATCCCCAACTCGTAACAAATGGCGACCGTGACAGGATACGACCTTAAGTACCATATTCCTTCCTCCCTTGTTACTCAGTGTTAATTATTCCTCCCAGTCACTTCTGTTCACAATTGCTTTACGGTAGTTTAAAGTTTCCTTCATATGTGTGTGCATATATTGGTATTATCGTACAGTAAGAGTGACAGCCGTAGGATATTAGGTTCCAAGTGTCATAAGGCTTACCTGTTATTACACGTGGCAGTCGTGTAGTATGTCTTATCGAGTGTAGGGAAGAATCCGGATCTGTTTAATGCCGTACCCTCACTCCAGAGTAGGCTGTTCCATAGTCACTAGTTTAGGGTGAAGTGATATCTTGGGACGCCCCGCTCTACCAGGACCCCATAATTATAAAGCCTCAATTATTGTTCTTCTCATTATCTCATTCAGGGTCAATCAAGTAACTCAAGGGTTGTTAATCCGGATCTTTATATTAATGCCGTAATACGCCCTTCCTCTTTCAAGTATCTCAGGGTTGTTAATCCGGATCTTTATATTAATGCCGTAATACGCCCTTCCTCTTTAAAGTATCTCAGGGTTGTTAATCCGGATCTTTATATTAACGCCGTAATACGCCCTTCCTCTTTCAAGTATCTCAGGGTTGTTAATCCGGATCTTTATATAAAATGCCGTAATACGCCCTTCCCCTTTCAGAAATATCTTGGGTTATTAATCCGGATCTTTATATTAATGCCGTAATACGCCCTTCCTCTTTAAGCTCTCTAAGAGTTTGTTAATCCGGATCTTTATATAAATGCGTATCATGCTTCCTCTTTCAAGTATCTCAGGGTTAAGTTGATCTTATACACGCCGCATTTCTTCCCCTTTCAAGTCTCTATCCTTATTCAAGGATCTTCTCAGAACAATATTCAGAAGTGTAATTTCCTAGGTATAACTTCTGGTAGTCCTGGAGGAGTGGAAGAGCAAGATACCATTTCACATTTTGAAGCATGTGGAGGAGCGTGGAGAGGTTAATTTAGGACGTGCGGCTGAGCTGGCTGATGTGTACGCCTTGCTGGTGGAGTCACTGTGCCGTAGGGAACGTGGTACTTCCCGACATGTTAGGTCCTCCTCTGATGATAACCTTGGGGACGTGAGTGGTAGGTCGAAAGGTCCCACACCTACCACCCCTGATGCAACCAAGTTTACTTGTTCTTACTGTAAAAACCCAGGCCATACGATCCAGTCTTGTAAACACCCAAAGTGTCGAATTGCTAAAAGTAGTTCCCTGGATCCCAAATTCAAACCAATAGCAACCACCAATGTGGAAAGGCCCCATCAGGATCTCTTCTCTTCAT